GCTGCCACGCGTAAAATAAAACTATTTTTTTCAGTAAAAACGTTAAATAAACGCTTTATTCTCCGCGAAAGCGGCATCAGCGCAGCGCCCTGTGAGGGCTCTCCCCTGTGTCCCCGTGGCCGCCATGGCGGACCCTGCACACCCCGCCGAGCTGTGCGGGAAGTGTCGCTGGGACAAGGCAGTGTCCAGCGAGAGGTGCGGAAATCCTGCAAAAATCAACTTTATTCGGCTAACGGAGAGAGAACACTGCCCCATACCTCTGTGGGGTCTCTCTGTAGTTTCTGGAAGGCACAGTTTCCTTTTATCGTCATTTCCCCGCTCCTTTCCCCCTTGGCCGAGGCAGCAGGGAGGTACAGTCCCAATACTACATATTCCCCATTTAACATGTATTCCCCCATCACAGTTGTATGAACATTAATATTCATACAACTTTGTTTGTATTTAAACTGACCCTGGATGAAGTTCATACTCACGATTATATCAAACCTGCACACTTCTCTGTGAACTTCAAACGGAGAACTTTCTTAAATCCCCACAGGCAATCCTTCATTGGTTCTTTCAAATTTAGTCGTTATTAAATATTAACACCCATTCCTCCTGCAATTATTTTGACTCCCACACCCTTTCCAGCAGTAACTAATTCCTTTTTTCACATTTAGTGGCCGCAGTCAGACCAATTGCAATCCAATTACTGTGACTCACCACACCCATTCTGCCAGGACCTGATTGGTTCTTACTGAGAATTTAGTTACATTTTTCATTAGTGAAGACCACAACACCGCACTCTGCGCTGGGCTTGGCCCCATCTCGAATATTTTGAGCAGTTTTGGTTACCAAAATGTAAGCTATTAAGCTGTGGGAGAGCTTCCAAAGGAGTGGCACCATGAGGTGCAGCCATGGGAGGAGCAGCTGAGGGAGCTTGGTCTGTTCAGGGAATTGGGTTGAGATGGGTTTGAAGGCGCTTCCAAACCCAAACCATTCCAGAATTCCATGATAATCACAATAATTCATAATCGTGATGGTCATTCCATGATAATCACAATAATTCATGAGATGGTTGTGAAGATACCTCCCAACCCAAACCATTCCAGAATTCCACAATAATCGCAATAATTCCATGATAATCACAATAATTCATGGGACAGTCTTGAAGGTGCCTCTCAACGCAAGCCATTCCAGAATTCCATGACAGTCACGGTAATTTCATGATAATTCATAATTGTGGTTATCATTCCATGATCATCACAATAATTCATGAGATGGTCTTGAAGGTGCCTCCAAACCCAACCCATTCCAGAATTCCATAATAATCACAATAATTCTTTGATAATCACAATAATTCATGAGACAGTCTTGAAGGTGCCTCCCAACCCAAACCATTCCAGAATTCCATGATAATCACAATAATTCCATGACAATCACAGTAATTAATGAGATGATCTTGAAGGTGCCTCCAAACCCAACCCATTCCAGAATTCCATGATAATCACAGTAATTCAGATAATCACAATAATTCATGATAATCACAATAATTCAGTTGCTCCAGTTACAGCAGGAGCGCCCAGCACAGGAGGAGACCCATTGCAGGTTCCTCACCAGGGAAATCTGATTTTTAGGATTCTGTGCAGGACTGGATGATCCCTGTGGGGTCCCTTCCAGCTCAGGATATTCCTGAATTCTGTGATTCTGAGTGTTCCCCTCCCAGCCCTGCTGCACCTGCTCGTTGCTGGAGGAGGAGGAGATGCTGTAACTGCATCTCCTCACCCCTATCGCCACCTTCTGTCGCGACATCAGCGAGGAAAAGCCGCATGCAGCAGCTGAGGCTTCCCCCAGTAATAACACTAGGTGGTACCAGAGCTCCACACAGCCTCAGCCAGGACTCGACCTCAAAAAGAAAAAAAAAAGGAATTCTGAAGCAAGGAGAGCTGAAGCTGCGATGTCTTAATGTGCTGCTGGCACAGGGAATCGAGTTTTCGCCGGCAAAAAGCCGACGGGACCTGTGAATAAAATAAAGATATTTTCTGGTGTTCAGGGCTACAAGGGCAATGTGTTTGTGGTTAAAGTTGTTCCGCTGAGTGATGGTGTTACAGCACCTGGGAGGGAAAGTTTGAGGACTGATTCTGAGGGAGTTTTTCACTAATAAGAATCAGTTAAAGAAAATCTAGGAAGGATTTTAACTTAAGCAGAACCTGCCCATGGCAGGGGGTTGAAACTGGATGGTCTTTAATGTCCCTTCTGACCCAAACCATTCTGGAATTCTATTCCATGGTTTCATCTTAAAAATGAAGTGGCCTGATACCTTTAATTCCTGATATCCTTAATATTAGCAACTACTTAACAGCACTCAGAATATGATCACCTTTTCCTTCAAGAAACTGCACACCCTGCCTGAAATATTCATGCATTGAAAAAAAAAATCCCTCTTCCTGCAAATGAATATTTATTCCATGCATAATCTTTGTGGCTTTCAACACATTTAGGCAAAATGTTTCAAGTTTCTCTGCTTGCAATGACAAAATCTAAACCTGACACCTGAAGAGGTGGCCCGGTTTCAGCTGTGTGGGGCATTTTCTAGAGACATAATTTCCTCCTGTTGCTGCCTCCTTAGCACTACACGGTTTTAGCAACCTCGAGCAACTCAACACAGCAATTTGGGGGATGAATTGAAGTATGGAGATAGCAGGGAGAATAACAACAGCAGAACTGGCCCTTGGCCAGAAGACTTTTCTCTAAAACTCTGCTCTCATGCAGAAATTCCTGATTCTCTGCCCATGGCAGGGGGCTGGGACTGGATGAGATTTAAGGTCCCTTCCAACCCAAACCATCCTGTGATTCCATGACTTTGTGAAGTCCTGGGAGATGATCTTATGGCTAAATATGGTCAGGACTTGAGTGCTGTGCCTTGTCCAAGACCCAGTGACATCGGTGGTTCCTCTTTCCAGATGAAGAGTTGGCGGCGGCGGCTTATTTTTAGTGGTGTGGGTGTAAAATATTGAATTTCGCATCGCCTGAGCTCGGTCTGCTCTGCCCTGGTGGGTTTTGTGCCCAGATCCAGCCAAGCTCGAGGTCTGGGGCTGACATCATGGAATCAGAGGATCCTGGAAGGGACCTTAGAGCTCATCCAGTTCCAATCCCAACACCTTCCACTATCCCAAATTGCTCCAAGCCCTGTCCATCCTGGCCTTGGACACTGCCAGGGATCCAGAGCAACCACAGCTTCTCTGAAATATCTCAAACCACAGCTAGAAATGCAAAGAGATTTATATATTTGACAGGTGATTCCCACATCCCTGCTTCCAGGAGACTCTGCGGCTGTTGGGACATCACCTGGAGAATTCAGCTCCCTGGGAATGAGCAGCTGAGGGCCACAGGAGTGGGATTCTACCTTCCACCTTCAGAGGAGTGGGATTCTACCCTCCACCTTTAGAGGAGTGGGATTCTACCCTCCAGCTCCTCAAGTCAAAGGGAATTTCTCTCTGACCACAACAGCAAACAGACCATTAAAACATCTGTTCAAAAACCTTTCCACGTCCCATTTGCATTCACTGCTACTTCATTCTGCTGCACAGTTTGTACCTGGTGAAAGGTTTGGGATACATCAGAGGGCTGGAAAAGGCTCTGAGGATCAAAACCTCCAATCCCACCTGGGCAGGTGCTAATCCAGCAGCTGAGCCCACCCCAGCTGATTCCTATCACGCCTCTTGGGCGTGTTTGGCCCCAAAAATGATGGGAGAGCTGGAAATGGAAAAGAGATTCTTAGAACTGAGCTTTTGGGAAAGAGTTGTGGGGCTTTCAAGCTTTTTCTGTGGGGTTTTAAGGGCACATCCCCCCTTCTCCCCTTTGGGGAGCCCCTCAGCGCTTTGCTGTGTGGGACCAGCTCAGGTTTCAGGAGGAAACAGGATTTAGGTGATTCTAATGTGTCTGTGAGGGAATGATGGGCCCTGTTTGTACCCTGGTGTTGCTGAGATGGGAGGCAACCAGCCCAGGTGTCAAAAAAAATCCTGGATTGAGGAGGAAGGCTTGGGATAAGAACGTGCCTCACTGTGCAGGAGGGAAATGGGAGCAGAGTGAGGAGCATGGGTGAAGCTCAGGGCCTGTTCCACCTAAATTACAAACAAGCTGTTGCCTGAACCCTGATTTTGTGAGGGAATGAAATTCCTGGGGTGATGGCCCAGTGATGTTCCCCTCACAACCTCATTCCTGAATTTGGAGCTGTTGTCCAGTGCCAACCAACTGGACAACAGCTCCAAACCCCAAAGGTAACCCATTAACAAACATGTAATAGAGAGAAACCCTTCATTCATTCCTTCTCTGAGTTTAATTACAACCAAAAAACTTCAAATCCAGGAACAAATGGGACAAACATTCCCAAACCGTGGAAAAGCTTTCACCCCTATGAGATACCAGGGGTCCACAGGAAAAAACCCCAAAAAGAGGACTCTGGGTGCTGACCAGGCAGGAGCTGCTCTGGGTGAGCTATAAATCCTGGTTTTTTCCCCCCACATGGTTTTCCTGGTGTGTAGGAAGGGGTGAAAGCCTGACAGAGCCCCAGTTCAGTCTGGTGTAAAAGTCCGTCAGCCCTGAGGCACAAATGGACACCAGGCTCCATCCCTCCCAGCACTGACAGGACTAACACAGATTTCAGTGCTTGAAATAAAATGTTTTGCACTGCTCTCTTTCCCTCTAATTTCTTTCCTCTCTCAAGACCACATAAACCAGAAGAGGGATGCTGGGAGAAGGATGGTTCTCTGGGTAGTTCGGAACACATGAAATGCTCTTTTTTTTTGGCTTTTCAGCAGGCCAGGGCTGGAGAATCACCCAGAGCCACCGGTGCTGCTCCCTGAGCCAGGCAGAGTCTCGGCAGTGAGCGCTGGAGATGCTCCTGCCCCGGCACAGCGGCGGCCAAGAGCTCTCGATTTAAGAACCAGATGAGTCTGAACCTCCTTGGAATTCCTTCAAAAATCTGCCAGCACTCTCCTCCCCGCCGAAAACCGGATAAATCCCCTTCATATCCCCGGCTCCGAGCGAGGCCCTGAAATATTATCAGTGCTCTTTGACACCCTACCTGCCCCTCATCCCACCTGGCTTTCCACAAAACGCATTTCCTCCGCTTTCAGGGGGAAAAAAGTCAGATTCATTCAAGCCCTGACACTCCTCCAGCGCTTGGGTGATCAAGTCTCCTCCGGTTTATATTTGATATTTTAATAGGGTTTCCTTTTGGCCCTTTAATGAGTTTTTATTCCCCTCTGTGCATCAGACGCTTCAGTCTGACCGACAGTTTTACTCACCCCATGTGGAGGAATATGAACAGCCAGGACAACCTTTTCTTCCTGTGGCAAGCTTTGCTCTGCCAACATTTTTCTTCAGCTCGCAGTCAGGGGATGTGTCCTGACCCTTTCCTCACCCATCCTCCAGCCTTGGAGCTGGGATGTTCCTGCTGCTGCCGAGGCAGGAACAAACCCAGCCATGCTGTCCAGGCTCTCAGCTCTGTAGCAGGGAAGGAGGGAGAAAAAGAGGGAGAAAAGAGTCAAAATTCAAGCAAATGTGGGGTTTGGCTCATCTGAGCAGCTGAGTTTTGTTACGTCAGCCTCAGCCCAGGCGTGGGGGACAATTTATTATAGGGTGCAGTGAGTGGGACAGGCTGGGGCTGTGCTTGTGCCTGTGGAGAGCTCCATTCATAGAAATTCAGAATTACTGAAGGGTTTGGGTTGGAAGGAGCTTTAAAAACTGTCTCATTGCACCCCCAACAGCTTCCACTGTCCCAGGCTGCTCCAAGCCCCATCCAACCTGGCCTTGGGCACTTCCAGGGATCCAGGGACAGCCACATCTTCTCTGGGAATCTGTGCCAGGGCCTGCCCACCCTCCCAGGGAGGAATTCCTTCCCAATTTCCCACCTAAACAGTTTCTCTCTTGTGCTGTCACTAGAGAAGTTGTTTCTGACGTACCCCAAACTAAGCATGGAGAGAGAGCCGATCTCACCCTGCAGGGCAGGAGGTGCTCAGGCTCCTGCTGGGAAAGATCCCTGACTGATCCTCCTGGGAAAAATCCCTGACTGGTCCAGTCCTGGCCCCAGCTGGAGGTGCCAGATCCCATCTTTCCCTCATGGCTGATGCCACAGGAGGGGTTGGTGCAGGACACCTGGCTGGAGTCCCAAAGGATCCCACACCCCGCGTGCTGCACAATAAATCAGTGCCAGTGCAGGCCCCCAAATTCTGCTGGACATCCCCCTGGGGATGGGATGGGATGGGATGGGATGGGATGGGATGGGATGGGATGGGATGGGATGGGATGGGGAGGGGAAAGGCAGAGCCACCCAAGGATTGAGACCCCACATGGACAGCAGTACCTGCTTCGAGTGATCCTGGGCTACTGGAGTTCTCCAGCACAGAAATTCATGGAAAAACTGAAATAAAGCAAATTTTGGGGTAGAAAAGTTTGACATGGAAATCTGTGAACCCTTTTCTGGGTGTTTTGTTTGGTAATTTAGGAATTCTCAAGGTGCCCACTGCTGTCTGCAGGCACAGGGGTGCCAGCAGCACCTTGTGCTTAATTCCACAGATCCAACAGAATTACAGAATTTAAAACCATCTCTCATTGAAGGTTCCACATTAAACTTGGGTTGGTTTTTGATGTTGCAGGAGGCTGATGCTCATCTGCTGAGAATTAGGAGGTCATTATTCTATAATCCAAATTGCCTCTCATCCATAGGCAGAAAATGACAGGAATATTTAAGCCCATTGCCCAGATTACAAACTTGGTGGCAGAGCTCTGCACCCAGTAGTATCTTGCATCTGATAGCTGCCAATAATTTCAGTCAACTGTTTAACATCTGGCATTACTATTTCATGTCTGGCTTAAGCTGTAACCTTTTTTCCCCCTTGCTTTTAGAAAAGCTTTTTCTGCTTTGAGAGAATTTTGATTACTACAGCCTTGCCCAGGACAAATTTATCCTGTGATTTAACATTTTCTGATGGAGCCTCATCCTGAATCAGTTGAATAATTGGCAGTGACTTTGGTATTAAACTGATTCATGATGTACATGCAGACCCTTCAATAATTGAACATTATTGTCTGTATAATCAAAACCCCTTTTTGACCATTAAAAACTATTGGAAACAGCCTGGTGATCTGCTTTAATTAAAAATAAAGTGCAGAGGATTGGAAATGAGCAGGGATGAGAGGCACTTTGTGGCCCTGAGCAGCTCCAAGATGGGCTGAGGAGTGCAAAGCCAGGTTGGAGCAACCTTGGGTAGGTTCAGGTGGGATATTGGGATTCAGGAATTCCTCCTGGCAGGCTGGGCAGCCCTGGCACAGATTCCCAGAGCAGCTGTGGCTGCCCTGGATCCCTGGAGGTGCCCAAGGCCAGGCTGGACAGGGCTTGGAGGGCCCTGGGATTGGAACTGGATGAGCTTCACAATTCCCTTCCACCCCAAACCACTCCAGGATCTCCGATTAAACAGATTTTCTCTCTGCTTCTTCCAAAAGCTCTTAACTGGGATCAGTTAAAAAACCTGGGGAGCGCACGAGAGAAACCCACAACTCTCAGCACCATGGGTGATAAACAAATGGCCCAAATCCCTCTCTTTTGGGATCAACACAGCTGCTGGGGCTGGATCTCGGTGTCCCTGACCCTGGGGGCTGCCCTGGGATGAGCATCCATCCAAGGAATCCCACTGGGAGAGGCTGGTGGGGCCTCGGCTCCCCGAAATCCAAGGTGTCCTTTTCACACTGCAGCCCTGGCCAGCCTCTGGCAGGGCTCTGATCTAACAGGTTTTGCATAGCTGCTAGACATCTTCCTAATAGCATCCCCTGGGAATTCTAAATTTCACTCACAGCCTCTAAATTTTCATTAAGAGCAGTCACACACGGAGAATGATGGATTAGATTTTATTGTTGGAAAATCTCCAGATAAAATTAAAGTGCTTCTTTCTTTTCTGAAACCTTTACCTTTCCCCTGTGGTGCCCTATAAATAAGGTATCAAATAATGTTTATCCTTTTGAATTCTGCCATCTTACATGTTTCATGCTTAGTCCTGACCACTTTCCTGCCTCTGAAGAGATGTCACTCTTCAGTTAAATCCCAGGAACAGACAGCTACCTCATGGATTTCATTGTGCAGCAGCCTGCCTGTGTCCCAGAGCCTTCACTTCAACCCACTATTTATAAATACAGCGTTGTCTCCTTCCCTTTCCTGGAAGCCTTTCTTTCATTTCCTTCCTCTTTCCATCAAATTCCCTCTGTCCTTTTGCTTTTATCCCCACTTCTCCAGCCTCTCTGTGTCCATCTGATCCTGCAGACAGATGAGGCACAGCTTTGGGATGTGCTGGGATCACGGGGCTGAGGCACTTCCAGCCTGCACCAGCCAAACCCTGAGAAGTGGGATCTGCTCCCGCTGCCCCTGGCCAGCAGATTTTTATAGCAGATGTTGTTTTTTCCTCAGTGAAATTTAAAAAAAAAAAACCCCACTATTATTTTAGGACTTGAATAGTTTTTGAGATGCTTTTAGTCTCCCCTTGAAAAAGCAAGAGCCCTGCAGGCAGTTGGTAGGAAGTGTCCAAGAGCTGGGAATGCTGCTGTGATTCATATTGGTGTCAGCTCAGTTAAATTAAATTCCACAGGGATTTATCCAGCCAGGCCTCCAAACAAGTTTTAGACAGCATCTCCCACCCCCAAACCTCACACTTCACAGCATCTTAAATTAATCCAGAGAATGGCCAGGGCTGGGAAGGGCTCCTGCTTCCCACCTCAGCCCAGGGAATCAGAGCCTTGCCCTGGGGAGGGAGAAAAGCAGGATTGCAGCTGGATTAACACAATCCCCGGCTATGGGGATCCCCATGGCTCAGACTGGGGCAGGGTCCCACTGAGCACTCACCCCAAAGGATGTCCCTGCAGGGCTGTCCCCAGCCCAGGAGCTCTGGTCACCCCTCGGGCACTGCCAGTGAGTCCTGGGCTTGTGCAGACCCCCAGGACAGGGGATTGTCCTCAGAGCATGGCCAGGGCTGCCCTTCCAGCCCTCCTGAACCTCTCCTGCTGCTTTCAAGGCTCATTCCCACCATTTTGGGACATTTTCCTGTGATTTATGTGCTTCAATAGGAAGATATTCCACACCAGCACAGAGCCAAGCCAAATCCTTGTCTCAAAGTTCCTCCAACCTGCCTGGATCAGCCAGGACTCAGCTTCCCTTCTGCACAGAGAAGGTGGAGAGATTTCCAAGAGGAACAACTTCCCCTTCTCCTTATAATGCCTCTCCCATGCATGTGAGGGAGTTACACAGGTGACCCTGGGGGTGAATCTCATTAAAATCTTAAAGATTTGGCCAATTTGTACCAGCTGGGCACCAGGCCCTTGGTTTTGCCCCCAGTTTTGATTTTCCACCCCTGAGCTAAATGCTGCTTCCCAGAGCAAGGATGAAGAGCCCACGAGCACCCTTGGTCGTTATCCCTCCCTTTTCCTCTGTAAAATAATTCTCAAAACTCTTCTCGGGCCAGAAGAAAAATTACCCACAGGCTGGGGAACAAACAGAAGGGGATCCCAGCCTCATCCTCTCTGCTGCACCTTCATGTCATCCCAAAGGAAGCAGCAAAGGGAGGAAGATTCCCTGGATTTATTGGCCACTTTTACAGCTTTGTGGGTGCCACGTTCCTCACCAAGAAAACCCTTGGTGCTTCCAGACCCCTCTGAGGGACAGAGCTGAGCCAGAGAGGAGGAGAAAGCTGGGGAGGGGGGAACCTTGTAAATCTGGTACCAGTGAGGTGCCAGAGGTGACCAAAATGTGCCACAAAGAGGAGTGAGATCTCAGCCATCCCCTTCTCTGAGCTGGAGTCCTGACGCCCACGGCTGGGAGAGGCGCCAGGGTTATTTCTGGGGAGGGTTTGTGCAAGTTCCAGGCAGAGACTCAGCAAAAAGGAGACCGGAGGGAGAGATGGAGCTTTCTTTTGAGCAGAGATGTTGGAAACACATGGGAGTGAAGAGTTGGAGCACCCACTCTGAGGGGCTGGGAATGCACCAAACCCATGGACCCAACGCACCCAGCCATGGACCAAACCCGGCTGTCCCACAGCAGCTCCTGAGCTGCAGTGACAAATCCAAGGAGCCCCAGGGCTGCTCCCAGTCCCACTGCAGCTCTGGGTGCAGGATCACAAGGCCACAGTTGCAAATCCAGTTTAGTGGAGCAGAGGGGGCTTCCCTAAAGGGCAATCCCCAGCTGAGGACAGAGCGAGAGCAAAGGGCACAGGGAAGCACAGGACCTCTGACTCCCTTTCCATTTGGGAGGGAGGTGTTGATGTTTTAAACGCCAAGATGGATGGAGAATTGGCAGTGGCTTGCATTCATGAGGTCACTGTGAAGCAAAACCCTCCTTTTGCATGGCTGTGGTGAGAAGGCAGCATTGGGTTAGAAGTGAGCGAGCGAGGGCCGGGCACGGCTCCCAGCACACTCCAGGGGCTGTTGTGCAAGGATCAGCTGGACTCCAGCCTGTCCCTGTCCTGCTGCTGGAGCCATCCTGCCTCTGCACCCCTCCTTGCCTCCCTCCCCTGGGGATGGAGCAGAGCAGCTGCAGCTCAGCGGGCAGAAAATCCTCGTGTTTCTGTCCAGTGCCTGTCTGGNAAAGTGGGAAAAATCCCCGTCAACAACAGGAAGATGGAAATTCCCTGCAGGGATAACCTTGACTGCCTCAACATCCCCAGGCACCGCCTGAATGATGAATTGGGATGGAATCACAGCCAGAAGCCCTAAAAAATTTGGGGATTCGAGAGGTTCCTGTGCCAGGGGCTGGGCAGGGGTGGGGGGCACTAGAGGGCACTGTCGCCTGCAGATCGGGACAGGGAAAGAAATCCCGAGATCTGCATCCCCACCTCTGGAATGAGAGACTGGGCCAAAAACCCCAGTATTTTTTAAAATAAAAATTAAAAAAAAATATATAAAATAATAATTATTATGATATTAATAGTAACAACAATAATAATTATTTCAATAAATACCTCTTAATATCAGGTATTTAACACCACAGTGTAATAGATATCAAAATAAAACCTCCTCAGGCTGCTGGGAGATGCTGTGGAGGACCTCTGGGTGTAATACCCAAACCTTTTCTCCCTGAATATTGCAATAAATGGGATTTTAAATGCCTTCCAACCTGCTCAGCCTCGGGCCAGCTCCAAAAGTAGCCAGGGAATTTCCTGGGCTGGAGAGGGTCAGACCTTGGCAGGGTGTTTGGCTCTGGGTTCATCTTTCCAGGAGGGATTTTCTTTGGGATTTGCTCTGGAGCAGAGGGAGGGGAGGAAGGCACAGGGGCTGCCTATGGAAAAGTCACGGAGTGAGTGCTCACAGGTTAAAATTCACTTGTTAAAGAAAATTAATTAGGGAAAAAGCGAATTCTGCCCCTTGCAGCTGATCCTTCCCAGGGCAGGGAGCAGCTCTGATTTCCAGGGTGAAGCTGTGGGGATGTGGAGACAGAACAGAATTTCCTCACCTGGAGCCCAGGACTGGGCAGGATTTGGGGATCCATCATCTCTGCTTGGAGAGGGAAGGGTTAAAGCCTTGAGGTCTCCCATAACACCCCAGGTACAGGTGAGTGGAGTTAATTCCAGATGGAAATCAACCACGAGTGGGAAAAAAAAAATAAAGGAGAAGGGAAATATTTCTTTTGCCTCCCTGAAAAAGCAACTCCCGAATTCCCAGCGCCCTGGTGAGGCTGGAGAGGGCTCTGGGCTCACATTCCTGGGTGACCTCAGGTTCCTGGGTGACCTCACTCCTGCTCCACACCTGCCCAGGAGCAGCCAGGAGTGCCAGAGAGGGAGGGAAACTCCTGCTGTGGATCCCAAAGATCCCATCCCATCCCAAAGATCCCATCCCATCCCATCCCATCCCATCCCATCCCAGCTCCAGCTCTGGATGCAGAGCCCCGGGAGAGCTCGGGGTGTGGGGCAGGCCCGGATCCATCAGCAGCCCCCATCCTGCTGGAGCCCATCCCAACCTTCCCAGCTTTTGTTCTGCTGCAATCACCTGGCAGGAAATGAGCTCCCCCCACCTGGGGCTGCCTCGGGAACGGCTTCTCCCAGGTGAGCAGGAGCACAGAACAAGGTGGGAGGTTCCACAGGCTCCTGCTGCTGCTCTGAGACCCAGGAGAAATGGGGGAAAAGAACTTTTTGGGGACCCCCCCCGTGGCTGGGTCATCCTGGTGCACCTCCACTCCCCCAGGCAGATCTTATCTCACAGAGATTTATTTCCAGTCTTCTTTTCAAGACATGATGTCAGGATTCTAATAACCTGACTGAGGCAAATCCTGGCTGCAATTCCCGTTGTGTTTATCAATTTCCTCCTCTCTTTTCTTTGCTTGTCTCGGTTAATCATGGAACAGCCCCATGGAAAAGCGCTGTTAGCCCGACCTCCCAGCCAAGGCAGGCCTGCTCCTGCTCCAGCCAGGTTATTTTTAACAATTCCCCAGGGATCAGAGCTGTTGAATCACAGGAGTGAGGAGTGGAGAGGGGCTGTGAGCTCATGGGCTCTGTCTGCTCGTGGGGCCAGGGCAGCTCCCCCAGCCCAGCTCCTCCTTGGGCTCCCTTGGGGCTTTTCCTGCTGGGCACCAGAGCCCACACGCAGCTCTCTGGGGATGGAGAAAGGTCTCAGCTGGCTGAGGGGTTTGAGGCTGATCTGTGGGATGGGAGAAAGGATTGGGAACTGCCCCGCCTGCTCCATGGGGACACAGGACTTGGGGTGCTGCTCCATGAGCCTGGGAATTGCTTGGGAGGGATTTGTCCTGTTCAAACCTCTCATCTTCCCTGACCCAAACCTGTGCCAGCCCTGGGGCTTGTGAGCAAGATGGGCAGCCCAAAAGTGGACAGGCTAATTAGCTGTTAATTGAATTTGGGGCAGAAATGTCTCAGATCTCCTGCAGACAGGAACACACGAGTTCCTCCTGGACATGCACAGTGCCCAAACCTGCTGTGCATTCCCCTGGCACCGTGCAGGGGCTCCTTTNCTGGGAATGCCCATGGAACCATGACAGAATGAGAATTTCACCCCAGAGTGACTTCCCAGAAAAGCTTCCTGCAGGTAATTCCTGTGCATTTCCCTGGGTTTTACTCCAGGAGAAACTCCCCCCATCCACGAGCCAAAAGCTTTGTGTGCTCCTGTCAAACCCCATTTCTAATTTATGCTTTTTTGATTATTCTGCTCCCTCACCCGTGCTCTGCTCCCCTTTCCCAATAAAAATTACAGCTTCCATTTATCATTTTTCCAAAGGCTGCCATAAATTCTGTTTGTTCCATCCCTCCCTCACCTCACACCAGCTCTGTCCTCCTCCCTCTGGGGTTGTGTGATTGCTGTCACCTCACACATCTCCTTCCTTCCTTTTTGGAGAGGGAGACAGAAATAAAAAATAAGAAATAAAAAAATAAGAAACAAAAAAAACCCAAAAGCAAATACCAGAACCAAACCAAACAAACCAATCCCCCAATCCTAAAATCTTTCCAGGTCATCTCCAAACCTGCAGAATGGCTGGAGTTCCAAACAAATAAAACTTGTGGGGTTTTACAGCAGAATTTCCTGATTTTTCCCTTTTTTTCCCCAGGAATTAGCACCAGTTTGGAGAGGCAGGAGTGACACTTGTTGCCCTCAGAGCAGAATTTTTTTTGGGAGTCTCTACTTTAATCTTTCTTTTTAAAACCCAGCCCTTAAAGAAGCTGCTCTGACTCAAACATGATTTGAAAGCACCGAGCTCTGGCTGCACTTCCAGCGCCCAAATGTGTGACCTTGGATGACACCAATCTGCCAGAAAAGCAGGAAAAAGAAAAGGTGTTGCTGATATTTATTTATTTTCTGCTCTGATTCCTCATCCATCATCAGGGAAATTCGCTCTTGGCAGCGCCGGCCACTTCCTCAAGCGCAGCCAAGGTGACCACGAAAATTAGCATCAAACCCCACAAGGTTTTCCATCATGGACACGTTGTTTTTCACTGGACACAAATCCTGAGGTGTTTCCCTTTTATTCTGCACCCACAGGGATCGGGTTGTTACTCCAGGCATTGCTCCACGTGCTGACAGATTCTCCAAATGGGAAAGTGAAATTTTTGTGTTTCACCGGAGAAAATTCCCTCCCGTCCTCCCCAGCTGAACGGCTCAAAACGGCTGCACCGCCCCAGAGCTCAGACACAGAACTCCACTTTCACCCTCTCCCATCAGCTTTTTGCCTAATGAGAAGCCCTGGAGGAGCAGACTTCCCTGGCAGAGCCAAGGAACACAAATGCCCACAAACACCGATGGGCTCGTGGTGTTAGAGCTGCACCCAGGGCCCTGCTGGAGCTCCCAGCTCTGCCATTCCCAGCTGGGGAGTGCAGGGATGCTCTGGGAAAAAGGAATTTTCATCCCAAAATCAGTGAGGTTGGAAAGAACTCCAGGCTGGGACTGATCCCCACCTTGTCCCAGCCCAGAGCCCTGAGTGCCACCTCCAGGCATTCCTGGGACACCTCCAAATCTCCCTGGGCAGTTCCAAGGCCTGAGCACCCACACCCCGACGGTCCCTGAGCTGGAGAAGGCACTCAGGATGTGCTCCATGGCCCTGTAGGATCCTCATCCTCCAGGAATAATAATAATAAAAAATATATATTAATACAGATATATAGATTTAATATAATATATAATGTATATAATATAATACATATTATACATTATGTATAATGTATATGCATATATTGTAAATGCATATATTGCATATAATGTAAATGCATAATATTTTATATATAATACGTAATACCTATTATATNTGTTCTTGCCTCTCCAAGGCCCTGATCTCAGGGCTTGGGGACAGGTTTGCTCTGCCCAGGCTGAGCTCTTCACCTCCTGCCTCGTTCCAAGAGGCACCCAGAGCTGAGCAGAACCAAATCCAAGCATTTTTTAATGGATGAAAATGTTCAGCAAGGTACTTCTGGCTGCCATTGCCAGGTACCTGAGCTCCAAAGCTCCAAAGCTTGTGAGGAGAAGGAAGAAATTATTTTTATGAATTTTATATTTGACTTCCTGGCTGTTCCTGGAATTTTGCACATCCCCCCTGACAGAGAGGAGTGGCCCAGCTGCTTCTCCCAGGAAGTCTTTGCTCTTCCACCAACCCATGCTCTGCTAATTTTCCTATTACTAAACCCAGAGTAATTAATACTGAGTAATCTCTGAGGGATTTCACAAATCTCAACGTTCTGTTATTTTTCTCAGTATGGAATTTTGGAAAGAAACTTCTGAGGAAAATCGTATCAAAAATGGACTTGCAGTAATTTTTTTCTCCTTCATCAAAAATAAGGTTCTGATTTTTAGCAACAACAATAACCTGAAAAAAGAACGGGATTAACTCGAGAGCTCCTTCACTTTCACTCCATTTCTTTTGCCCCTCCACAGGGAAATCCTCAATGCACAGTTCCCAAATGTTAATGAACACCAGCCCTTTCTCGGTACCTTTTAGGGCCTGATTCACCAGGATCATCCATAAATATTCCTTTAAAAACCTTCCTGAGGAGCTCCCGAGGGCAGCCCGTGTCAGGAAATGTCGGATATTTCTCCCTCTCCTCCTCGAGCCGTTGGTAGCCTGCTCGGGAAAGAACAGATGCGTTAAAAGTTGGGAGATTTACAGCCCCCCACACACACGGGAGCCATAAACCCACAATTTGTTCCATTCCCAGAGCAGCTCTGCCCGCTGCAGGACCTTTCATCGCTGCTGGAAAGCTGCCTTGAAAAAACCCCCGCTCTTTTATGGCCACACGGACACAAAGTTCAGCTCTCGGTGCCTCAGAGATGGAGATGGGGGAAGGAAGAGATGAATTCGCTGGCCCTGGGTTTGCTGCTCACCCTGCCCTGGGCAGGGAGATATCCCAGACTGGGAATGTTGATGGGAACAGGGCAGGAGGGTGGGAATCCTGTGACACACAGAGGGTCCTCTGCTCTATTGAAGATGGAGGGAGAGACCCACCTTTGTTGATCAGCATCTGACTCCGATTTATTAAACAACTAGGCACTTTTTATAACAGTGTTAATTCACTTCATGCATGTTGCAAAATCTGAGCTCCTGATAGGCTTTAGAGAAAACTTCAGCTCCTCCTTTTGTTTCCAATACCTGAAGTTTGTTTACTGAAACCAAGATCAGTGTTCCCACCATGATATGGAAGGTTCTCAAAACCTTCATATCTATTCCCAGACTGGCTGTCTGTTCCCAGTAGCAGCCAAGGACAGAACGGTCTGAGAATCTTGTTGTTTATATAAAAGGTAGCTGAGAACCTTAATTATTTACAGGATCAAGCCTGGGAAAGGCTGCTTCACATCAGGCTTCTATATTTCCCTCAGCTGAATACCTTCATGGCCTCTTTCTTTAAGCCATGCTTAAACCAGGCTCTCCACACTGCTCGAGCTGTGACCCTCAGGTGATCACTGCTGGCCTGGTACCTGCTCCTGACCTCCAGTGGCACTGGGAGCATCAAAATCCCTGCATGACCAAGGAACTGCTGGCACCACAGCTCAGTCCAGCCTCGCAAAACCCAGCCTGGACAAAGGTGTTGGTGCAAACCCCAAAATCACCCTCAGAGTTCTGCATTGATGGCTCAAGCAGCTTGAAGTTACTGTGATGCAGCCAGATTTATTCTGGATATCCAGTGCTGGAGTAGCAAACGTCCAGAGGAGCTCCGGGATCTGCCTCTGGGATTTCATTGCTGAGCACAAACCAAACCTGCTTCTCCTTCTGCTCCCAAGGAGATCCCCCAAAGCACAAAGGGTTAAACCTCTGTCCAGGCTGCCCTTCCAGCCTCCCCAGTTTGCAAAGGGTGGGAAGGGAAGGATTAGAGGGGAGAGATTTATGGGGAGCCCATCCTGGAGCCTCCCTTTGATGCTGGGTGAGTGGCCCTGCTCCAACAAAGGGGCTGTAAAGCACTGCCCACCACAAAACCCTCTGTTGGGGGCAGCCAAATCCCTCCTGGGGTTATCCTGGCCTGGAGAGGCCCTGGAAGGAAAGGCTGCCCCTTTTTCTGGCTGCATTATTCACAAAGAGCTGGTGAAACACTCACAGCTCCCCACAAATCTGCTGGGGCTGCACAGACATTTGGGCTGGGAGGAAAGGAAGGGCTCAGGGCTTGGCCTGCATCCCCCATCCCAACTGGGGTGTCCCTGGGGCAGGGAGAGCAGATCCGTGCCCTGGAACCCCTTGGGCAGGGAGAGGAGCCTGCAGTCACAGCTGGGCTGGGTGGGTGGTCCCAGGTCACCGTTCCCACCAACCAGGGGGCTCTGAATTGTCCCAGGGATGCAGGGATGGACCCTGGAGAGGGAAATCAGGAGGAACCAACACTGGAATGAATGACTCTGGCTTTCATCTCACCCTGAGCAACTCCCCCTTAACCCCTTCAGGTGTCACAGCCCCTCAGGGTCACTGGAGCTCACCCACTAAAGAAGGACCAAGTGACCTCAGAATGGGGGTTTTTCCTCCTTTCCATAGGATTTTTTTTAGCAGAAGAGGAGGAATTAATGGAAAGCCAGAAGTGCTCCATCTCAAGTGAGAAATGGCAGAAAAAGCCTGCTGGCACTCACCAGCCAAGAAGCAGCTGGTGTTGGATGGGAGCTCAGAGCAAGCTGTGATCCACAGGCTCTGCCTCTCCCGAGGGGAGGAGGGAATCGCTCCCACTTTGTCACAGCCACTTTGTCACCCCCTGAGGCTGCTCCACACTCACCTGTGTCCCCTGCAGAGGGATGTCTGCTCTCCCACACATCTGTCCTCACAGAGCCACAGAACCCTTCCTGCTCCAGGGAAGGCATCACCAGCCCTTGCTCAGCCTCAGCACCTGCTTGGAGCAGCATCCCCAAAAACCCTGGAGAGCTCAGACCTGGCTGTGCTGTGGAAAAAGCAGAAATAAACAAACACTCCTGGCTACCAACAAAACCCAAGCCATGACAACGACAACAAACAACAGCAAAAAAAGTTCCTTCCTAATTTCAGCTTCTGGTCGTAAAATTTTACTTTCATGGAACAGCGTGAAATCTGCACAGCCCGAGCAGGGGTTTTTCATAAAAGGCAGAGCTGGTGGAATATCCCAGCCAAGGTGTTTTTATAAGCCAGAAGAAGAGAGGCAGAAACACAGAAAGAAAATAATTTTTTTGACTTCCTTCCAGAAAGGAATTTTATTTAGATTTCCTTTAGCCAGGCTGAACCTCTGCTGCCTCTCCTTGCATGGGTTTTATCAGAGCCCTCCCAGCAAATCCAAACCCCTCATTCCTCTTTGCATCTGAGCCCTTTAAAATCTTGGAATTTCCAGGACGGAGCAATTTGCAGTGGGAATTTGGCTCCTTCTTAGCCCAAAACACAAACCAGAGTGTGGAAGTTCAGCCCTGCACCCAGGGTAATTCTGCTTTTCCAACACCCCTGAGGTTGGGGGAAACACTTCCCACCGGCCAAATCTATGAGGTTTGAGGAGAAAATATTGTCTGCTAAAGGGCCAGAAATGCTCTCACCCGGTGGAAAATGACTTCCAAATGCCCCCTGCTCTGGGGATTTCATGATCTTTCCATCCCTTTTCCTCTCTTCTTCATTTCTCAACTCTTGACCCCTGAGCTCGCGGGTGAGAGCCCTCGGCAGAGGAAACGCTTCCTCCAGTTCATTTGTCTCCATCTCTGTGCAGCTGAAGGTGCTCCTGTGGCCAAGAGGATGCTGTTCCCAGCCCTGCCCATCCCAAATCCTCCACCCTGGATCTGCAGCTCCAAAGAGAAAACCAAAGTCAGAGCAGTTTTGGCCCCGCTTTGGTGCAGATTGGCAGTCCCAAGGAGTGGGAGAGGCTGATGTGCTGAAGGGAACCAGAGGGGATGGGGTTTGCCTGGCCATGGAGGGCCAGCCGGGAAGGATATTGTTGGGAACAGGCTCCCAGGGGCCTCAGATCCCAGGAAAGCTGCTCTGGATAACCCCAGCTCAGAGAGTGGCACCAACCACAAATCTCAGGCACAGATTTCAAATCCCTTAGAAACCTCTGGGAAACCCCCCCCCAAATCAAGGGTGCAAAGGCAAAATATTGCCCAGTGATTCCAGCACAGAATCCTGGCATGGTTTGGGTTGGAAAGGACCTTTAAAATCACCCTGTGCCATGGGCAGGACACCTCCACTGCCCCAGGTTACTCAGCATTCCCAAGGCCATTGGAAAGCACCAGGGATCCAACACAGAAAGGAGGATGTGGTTTGAAATTTCCTTTTTAGGGGATAATCCAAGCTGGAGCATTGGGAACCAGAGCTCAGAGGTTGAAGGATGAAGAAATTCCTTTCTGAAAGAAATTTCTGCTTAGCACCTTATTTATAATCAGGGTAAAATGGGGAGATCTCGGGTGTCATTCCAGCCTCTGGGGATTTTTTGAGGCGTCTCAGCGAGCCCCAAACACACTTCCCTGGATATTGTCCACAGAGCTAGGCTGGAACAGGAAAGAAGAGAGAAAGGAGTGAAAAAGGGAATGCTCAGGTGTTTCCCCAGCCTTTCTTCCCTCTTGGTCTGGACATGGGGTCCTGATTTTCCTTCTGTTTTCAGGGAGAGGCAGAACCCACTGGATTTCTCTTAGATTTGCTGTTCAGTTAAAAACTAGGACATTCAAATCCCAGAATTCCAAGCTGGGCCTCGATCCTGAGCAAAATAAAACTCAGGAGGAGAATTTTTATAGGACAATTTGCTGCTCACCATGAAGGCTTGAAGAGGCCAAAGAGCCTGGGGAAAAGGATCCTCCTGCCCTCCTCCTCCTCCTCCTCCTCAGCTTCCCTTTGGCTTCCAGCAGCCCAAGATCCAGGGAAAACACAGCAAGGGCCACTGTTATTCTTTATGGAGGCAGGAGAGGAAAGGAGGCAGCATCCAAAGCTCAATATGAGGTGGAAAAGGCGTCCAAGCTCTGCGGCCCTGGATGAAACAAAGCACACAGAAACCCAGGGAAATGCTGGGAGATGGATTGCTTGGGAATGGGAATGGAACTGTCTGTGTTTGCCTTGGAGAATGGGGAAGGAGCCACAGGGTTTCAGCTCAGCAGGTGTTGCTTTTCAGCACAGAGATGTGGAGCGAGGCAAAGCCCTCCTGCCAGGCTGTTCCTGTGTCCCAAATCCTCAAATCCCATCCCATGCACAGGTGATGGTCACACAGCTCCTGCCAGGCTGTTCCTGTGTCCCAAATCCTCAAATCCCCTCCCATGGCCAGGTGATGCTCACACAGCTCCTGCCAGGCTGTTCCTGTGTCCCACATCCTCAGATTCCAATCCCATCCCATGCACAGGTGATGCTCACACAGCTCCTCAGATTCCATTCTATGGTCAGGTGGTGTTCCTGTGTCCTAAATCCTCAGATCCCAATCCCATTCCATGCACAGGTGACACCCACACACCTCAAACAGATTTTTGCAGGAAGAGAAGGCAAAAAAAAAAAAAAGAAATCAAGGNCTCCCGCACCTGCGGGGCTTTGCGGGGCTCTTGATGGCAAAGCCGTGCCCGGAGCCCTCTGCCCGTCAGGAGGTTTGGGGGCGTTCTGGCTGAGGGAGGGAGCGGGCCCTGCACATTCGGGATGGAATTAGGGAATTAGGGAGAGGATACGGACAATAAGGAGGAGTTTCACACTTAACTTCCCTTGTCCAATCAATTAGGTAGGAACAGAGTCACCCCATCCATCCCTCCTCCCAAGGAGGTGCCCCCTCCTCCTGAATAAAGAGAATTTTAGAAGCAGAGCGATGAACTTGCACCAATAATCACCCAAATATTAGGAAAAATTGGGAGCAACACAGTGAAAAAAAGGGAAAATTAGGTCAAAAAGCAGAAATAAAAGGATGGCACCAAATCCTTGGTACACTCCAGGCTGAACATGCAAAATATTGCCTTAAAGCTCAAGCTGATAAGGAAATGATAACAACTAAATAGACTTAATTAAGATATTTATTCCCAATCTCTGAATCCCCCTCTCCAACCCTTTCCCAGTTTCAAAACTGGAGACACAAACCAGCGCAGGTTTCCCTGGGCCGGTTCCACCCAGCATTTCTTGCCCTGCCTCTCATTTCCCTGCTCAGCATCAGCCCCCAAACATCTGGGTGGTGATGGAGCTGGGAGCTGGAAGCACCACAATCCAGTGAGAAAGGATGTTTTTGTGCTATTTCCAACCTTCCCAGAACAGAGACCTTCAGAGAGCCCCTCACAAAGGCTGCTTTCTTCCTCCGCACCACTTTGGGAAGCCGGGTGAGATCCTCCCTTATCTGCCCTCTGCAGCCTCGTACGAGACAGAGACGATCAGAAGGGAGGGGGAAGGGGTGGCAGCAACCCCGGCCAACTCTGGCTTTATTCTTTTGGTGGTTTTGTTTGTTTCTTTTTTAGCTTCTTTCGGTTCAAAGTGGAGTTCTGGAGCCCCTCCAGCCTCCTCCGTGCTGGGGGATCACAAAGATTTACTGGAGACCCCCACGGATTAGAATTCTGCTTTCCCCCATATTAAAATTTCTGGGTGTTTTATTTTATTTTTTTTTTTTTTTGGTAGAATATTGAATCAGAGTAATTTTGGGGGTAAGTTTAAAGAAGCTGCAGTGCTGCAGCTCATCCATCCCCATGGGATCCAGCTCAGTCCCTCTGTGCTTGGACTGAGCTCCTCATGTCCCCACAGCCTCCCAGCTGAATCCCCACCCCACATCTCCTTTGGGGTGCAATCCCCTGTCAGGAGGGCCTGGAAGCACCAGGATTTGTTGTCCTGCAGAGCTGCACCCCTCAGAGCTGCCTGAAAGCAGAGGATGAGCCCAGCAGGAAGGGACAACAGGGATAAAGCTGGGGGAGCTTCCTGCTCTCCAGAGCATCCTCATGGAAAATCCCAAGCCATGGGACAATCCCTGAGGGGTCAGAACACTGACACATCCCTGGAGAGGAGCACAGGGGCTCAGGGAACCCAAGCAGGGCACTTTTGACCCCATTTGGCAGCACCACCGAGAGGGGTAGGGACAGGGAATAACCCCAGCCCAGCCCCACACTGAGCTCCCATTCCCAGATCCTGGAAAACCAAGACATCCCTTCCTGCAGCACATCCCTGCTCGCAGGCAGCCTGAGAACATATTTTATCTTCTACATAATCACAAGGAGGAGGAGGAGGAAAAAAAAAAAAAAAANTTAGGGAAATAAACAGGGCCAGCGGGCGGGCACAGGGACGGGCAGGGCACGCGGAGCATCCCGGCCCAAATCCACATCCCACTCACAGTAAAAGGTTTTAAAATCATAAAATTCGGAGATTAGAAAGAAGTTAGACTTAGTGAGGCCCTGGAAAAATGGTAGAAATAGATTCTGAAAATGTTAGGCTTTGTGTTTGCCAGATCATGTGAAATTTCACTTGCATGAGCAGTATATGATAAATGATATAATTGTTGGATGTGATGATTGTTTAAATAATTAAATATAATTATTGTTTAATTGTAAGAAGAATCATGAGAAACTATGTTAGGAGTTTGAGGGGGACCACGAGGAGCCCATGCTTGGCTGAAACCTATGTATACAACAGAACAATATAAATTTAATAATTAACATGAAAGTTATATAACGATAGAATATAAAAACATATTCATCCCGAACCCATGTTGGGGTCAGATTTGGGTTTGCACCCCTGACAGCCAGAGCTCTTCAATAAAAGCACCTGCATAGAATCATTCTGTGATTATGTGTTTGTGACACCGCTGTCAGCACGGGCTGGGACAGTGACAATGACAGTGACAGTGACAGTGACAATGACAGTGGCAGTGGCTCCATCCCTGCTCCCAGGAGATCCCCAGCGATCCCATCCCCAAAGGGATTCCCGCATTTCCCGCATTTCCCACATTTCTGTACAGAAACAACACAGCGTGACCTGAAATCACCGCCCCCAGCTGCAGCCCGGATAAACAGCCCCTCACCTCCACACCCCTAAAACACCCCCTAAACCCTAAAAAGTGCAGCTGTGGGGCCGCCCCGCGCCCCCCATCCCCAGAGCCGCTCATTAAGGCCCGGTGCTGTCTGAGCACCATTATCTGAGCATTCCCTTCCCCACCGGTCACTTCTCCTTATCTGCATATTTTATTGAAAATTAAAATCCCTTCGCGTTTTTCCCAGGGCTGGCGCGGGAAGGATCTTTTCTCGCAGCCCTACTTGACTCCAATTAGTTGGGATAACAAAGCTGCCGCTGTCGGGGGATTATTGACAAATGCTCCGGGGGGAAAAAAAAAGAAAAAAAAAGAAAAAAAAAAAGAAAAAAAAGAAAAATAAAAGGGGGAAAGGGGCAGGAGAACGGTCTGTTAAAATGACAGCTTTTAAGGCTGGAAAATAAAACCTGCAGGCCANAAATCAAGGCATCAGCATTCCATGAGGTTTATCCAGACTTTGCTCCGTTTTCTCCAGACTGGCTCCTCATTGCCCTGGGCTGGGGGCTTTGATCCGGAGGGGATTTGTCCTGGTGGGATGGAGAGCACTGGACCTGGACAGGAAAGAGCCATTGGAGCATCCTGATATCTCCAGGAGTCCCATAATGGACCAGACCTCAAAGCCCATCCAGGGCCACCCCTGCCATGGACAGGGACACCTTCCACTGTCCCAGCCTCTGTCCAGCCTGGCCTTGCACAATTCCAGGGATCCAGGAGCAGCCACAGCTCCTCTGGGAATCTGTGCCGGGCCTCCCATCCTCTCAGGGAGGAATTCCTGAATCCCAATATCCCATCCATCCCTCCCCTCTGGCAGTTTAAATCCATTCCCCCTTTGTCTGTCCCTCCATGCTCTTGGAACAGCATCTCCCCATTTTTTTGCAGGTTCCCTTCATGTGGATATCTGAAGGGAACAAATCTTCCCGTGCTGAGGGCTCTGCTCTTCCCAGGGCGTTCCTTTGTCTCTGGAACTTTACAAAAGCAGCTGCGGGGTCTTGGCTGGGGGATTTCCCCTGATGTGGAGGCAACCAGAGGAGTTTTCACCTGACCTGAAACAATGCCATGCACAGAGGGCCACATTGTTCCCCTGCCATTTGGAAGCAATTACCTGCATGTTACGTAAAACTTTTATGAAACGCGGGCAGAAATTCGGTAACGTGTTAATCAGGGGCTGAGTGACATCTGCTCGGTGCCCGGGGCTGGGGAGCTGCGGGAGGAGGGCCCGGCCCTTCCCGGTGATTACCAAAACACATTGCTCCTTTTTGCGGCCTCCCACGTGTTAATTTTTCAGATTTATCCTCGCAGGCTCCCGGTGTTCTCCCTGCACTCAACATCTGCTCCATCCCCGCCTTCCACAGCTCTGCCCCGCCGAGATCCCGAGGCTGCTCCGGCTCAGGGCTCAGGCACTTTGCTGAACTAATCCACAGGACAATTCCCAGGGAAATCTGGCTCGTTTCTGCCATCAAAAGGGATTTGCAGATGGATTCAGAGCTAAAAAACCCACAGGTTTAGGGGAAAAACACGCTCAGGGCAAGGCTTGGTCANAAATTATTAAAAAAAAAAAAAAATCCCCTCGCCTTCGAGATTCCCAGACAGTTCCCTCAGCATCCTCATGCTACTGATGTAATCCTGGAGGAAAATCCCCTGGGCCTGGGGCTGGAGCTGCTCCCAGCCCGTTCCTGCTCTCTGCTCTGGGGGTGGGCAGCCCCAGAGCCCCCCGAGCTGCAGCACCCTGGGCACGTTCCTATGGCCCCATTTGTGCACTTGTTGAGTGCCTGAATTCCCCCTGCCCCCGCGGGGAACATTAATAGCTCAGCAGAGCTCTTTGCTAATTCCATTTTCTGTCCTTTGTGCTCAGCTGCAAGAAGAATTAGCCAGGAATAAAAAATGACCTCATGATAAACAGCACTAAAACCCAGCAGTGCTGGTTCCTGAGCAGGTACTGCCTCCAGCCCCACAACCTCCCCCTGCCCTGGAAGCAGCCCCAGGGCTGAGGGGGAACGGTGGAGCAGGAGATGAGGCCGTGGCACAGGGCCAGGGGCAGATCTGACCCAAATTGCTCCATCTCCAGCTGGTTGAGTGATTCACTCCTGCAGGGCCGGGCCTGGCTGCCAGGTTGGGGCTGCTCTGAGGGAAGGGGGGGCTGTGTTTTGTTTGTCCCAGCGCCTGGGTTATCCAGGGCAGCGTGACACACGTGTGGGAGCGCCTGGAGCTGCTGCCCAGCCCCCTGGGACCTCCCTGCTCTGCTCTGACATCAGGAGCAGCACCCCAGGCGTGCTGGGACCCATAACTCTTGTCTTGATGCCATAAGGCTGTCCTGGTCCTATAACCCTGTCCTGATCCCATAGCTCTGGCCTGGTCCCCATAGTTCTGTCCTAGTCCCGGAGCTCCGTCCAGATCCCATAACCCTGTCCTGATCCTATAACCCTTTCCCAGTCCCATATCTCTGCCTTGGATCCCATAACCATGTCCCAGTGCCATAGCTCTGTCCAGATCCCATATCTCTATTCTGGTCCCCATAA